AGACAAAAGCCGGAGTCGATTCACTGAAGCAATCCAAAGTTATAAGGATTTTTATTTGAATTTTTTGGTTAGATTTGGCCATAGAATTCGAAAATTCTCAGGAAAAAAGCAACAGAAGCATTTCTGCACTCTAGTTCTGAATAAATGATAACATTCTGCACAATCCTTATTACTCAAACTATATGAGAAGAGCATATTCGTCAAAATCAGTCCTTTAACTTTTTGCTACTATTGTAGGTACTAAACATCCTTAAATACGAATTGAAACATTTCAGAGATGCTGAGCTAATCTACATCTTTTTTAGAATTTTTTATGTACTGAATTCTGAAATATTCTAAGATCTTTTTATTCTATAATTTCCGAAGGAAATTTCTAAAATCTGAAGAAGAGAATTTAAAGTAATTTTCACAAATCTTCATAAATTTAAAATATGAAAAATTTTTAAAAAGATATAAGATATGAAATTTTTTATCAGGATGGCTGATCAAAATAATTATCGATATTTTTCTATTGTTATTCAATTTGCGCAGGAAAGTTGCTGTAATTGGCGCTGGTTTGATGGGCGCAGGCATCGTCCAGGTCAGTATCGACAAAGGCTTCGACGTTGTTATGAAGGACACCAACGAGGCCGGACTGAATCGCGGCGTAAGCCAGATTCAGAAGGGTCTGGACGGCGCCGTGAAGCGTAAACGGATCTCCAGGTTCGTGTCTCTTTTATTATAGAAAAAGGAGCTACGCATAAAAAGATGGATTTTTTTAACGGAAATTTTCCACACAGTCTCGAAAAGAACAAGTATTTGTCCCATCTCGACGCGACGTTGAGTTACAACTCCTTCAAGGACGCAGACGTAATAATTGAAGCCGTCTTCGAGGACATCGCCATCAAGCACAGGGTCCTGAAGGAGATTGAAGCTGTGGTGCCGAATCACTGCGTCCTCGCGACCAACACGTCCGCTATTCCTATCACAAAAATCGCCGCTGGTAGCAGCCGTCCTGACAAAGTATAAGCCCATGTTATTTTTAATTATTATTTAATGTTTAATTTCCAAGCTGCAATGGCACTTAATAAATATATATATTATTATATTAATGTAAAGAGTTCATAAAAATATTTAATTTTTGAAGTTAAATTATAAGTAAGAAAAAATGTGTGCATGCAGACTAATTAAATGCTATTTAATTTTTTTATAATAATTTATAACGGTTGCATTATAAATATATAAATGGATGAGCTTTTTAAGACATTTTTTACAGTTTTTAAAATGTAATGTGCGTGTAGACTAAATGCCATTTAATTTCCGAAGAAAATTTCTAAAATCTGAAGAAGAGAATTTAAAAAGTATTTTTTAGAAATCTTCATAAATTTAAAATATGAAGTAAATTATATGCCACTTCATTTTCTATAATTGTTCATTATAATGATCATGTTATAAATATATAAATGGATGAGCTTTTCAGCAAGGCATATTTTTTTTTACAGGTGATCGGTATGCACTACTTCTCTCCCGTCGACAAAATGGAGTTGCTTGAAATTATAACACACAAAGGAACATCCGAAGAGACGATCAGGACCGCTGTAGACGTAGGTTTGAAACAGGGCAAGACCGTCATCACGGTCGGTGATTGTCCTGGATTTTACACCTCAAGAATACTTTCCGGCATGTTGGCAGAGGCGATTAGGTTAATGCAGGTGAGAGAGCTACTGCAGTTTTACTCGAAGTCACTTTTTACAGACACTACAAAAAATAAACAATACCTCTCTTAAGCATTTAATATATTTAGAGAATTGATTATTATAATTATTAGAGCGATCGATCTTATTCTGCAATAAAATCACAGTCATATTGGCATTAATTGTATCAATCCCAAATCGCGAATATAAATACGATACAATTTGTCTTCAACAGGAAGGCGTGGATCCGGCGCATCTGGATAAACTGACAAAGTCATTTGGCTTCCCCGTCGGTGGAGCCACTTTATCCGACGAGGTCGGCCTTGACGTAGGTGCCCATATCGGCGTCGACCTTCTGAAAGCTTACGGCGAGCGCTTCAGAGGAGGAGACACGAATATTCTCAACGACATGGTCAAAGCTGGTTTCCTTGGTAAGGTTTTTATCGTAACGTATAAAAAGAAGAACAAGAGTAGATGAACTGTTATTTCCGCCGGCGTTTCTTAGGGATAGAAAATTTCGCATAGTTAGTAATAGAAGGGAAGATGTCATTGATTATAAGAGTATCAAGTCATGCTGAAATGAAATTTTATTAAATTTTGGAAAACCTATAAGATTTTATTTTTTGAATTTCAGGACGCAAGTCTGGCAAAGGTATATTCATATATGAAACCGGCTCTAAAAACAGAGACGTAAATCCCGGGGCGTTGGACATTCTGAGAAGATATAAGCTCGAGCCTAAGGGTAGCACATCCGACGAGGATCGTCAGATGAGGCTGGTCTCGCGGTTCATCAACGAAGCGGTGTTGTGCTTGGAAGAAAATATTCTAGCCAGTCCCGTAAGTTAATGCATTTCATGCTTATCTGGCATGTTCAACGAATTATTGGACAATAAATAACAAGGATAAAGCTCTCTATTATAAAAATGTTAAAACTTGAATTGATTAGATTTCTATCTATAAATTAAATTATAGATAACTATATCAGAGAATTATATATCTCAGGAAACAATCAGAAAATTATGTCTCAGAAAACAATATAGTGATTGTTAGATGACAATGTGAGCAAATTACCACTCTTAAAGAAAATTTTGCTATCATTTTATGAATAACAAAAGAACAATTTAAATATCTAAGCAAAGGTTTTTTTTAAAAAAAACCTGAACAAAATTTGTCAAATTGATCATTAAATCACTTATGATATTAAATTCATTTCACCTATCAAATTCATCTATCAATATCAAATATGATATTAAATTCACTTTACCTATCAAATTCACTTATGATATTTTATTTCGTACAATTAAGCCAGCGGCACATGATGCATGTTTTTTTTTCTGGATTGCTTGCGTTTTAATAAATTACTAGAAATTCAACGTTCTGTGTGGTGCAATTTTAGTAATTTACTAAAACGCAAGCAATCCAGCGGGAAAACATGCATCGTGTGCCGCTGGCTTTACATCAACATATTTTGCACTTTAAATGCTAAATAGATCCTTTTTTGTTATTTTCAAAAACAATTATTTTTACTCAATAACTTTGTTAAAAGATCGATGAAATATCTTTATTACTTGGCTAATTGTTTATATTTTCTTTTTTATTCTTTTTTGCTTGTTATTTATTAACTATTTAATTTTTTTTTAGTTGGAGGGCGATGTGGGAGCTGTGTTCGGCTTGGGCTTCCCGCCATTCTCGGGTGGTCCGTTCCGTTGGGTGGACAGATACGGTGCCCATCGACTCGTTAAAAAGATGGAGGAGTTCCAGGTTCACTACGGCGAGACTTACACACCGTGTCAATTACTGCGCGACATGGCGGCCGATTCTACACGAAAATTCTATCCGAAATAAACGTTTCGATAAAAAAAAAAATTCATTATCGGCGTGTCTTCACGTTGATTAATCTTCATCCGAGAGCTGTATTATTTGTTCGCTTCAGGCTCAGAGAAAGAAAGCAAGCGCCTCGAAATAGGTGCAAAGCCTTGTTATCCTGCAACTCAATGTGGAGTTCGCATTTGTTATACCTCGTGTGTATCGATTTGTTGAAAGAATGTTTATCATCCTTTTCTCATTCATGAAAAACATTTTGGACATCTTTTTGGCTATTGTTTGACAAAAAATAAACGTAAGCAACATAATTATTATACGTATCTTATACGTATTTTAATCATAGGATTACATGCTATATTTTTGTAAGCGCGAATCACACATTGGGTTTATCAGACCTAGCCTGTAATTTTCCAACTGATAGAATTGTATATTTTTTCAACGAATTTGTTTCCAGAATTGTCAAACGTCAGTTAACATCAGAATACGATCATAAAATCAATGCAAGTCTATTAAATTCTAAAAATATACTAAAAATTTTTTAAATATAAAGATTAAGTGAAAAGAAATTTTCAAGAGTATACTAACTACTTGAAACTTTCTCCTTGATTCACACCCAAGTAGTCCTAAAATCAATAGTATTAATTTCTTAATAATTTTATTTCTGATCGATGTTTCAGTGAGGAAAGAATACATTACATCAGAACAAAACGAGAATGCAGCTACGACTGCACTTGTTAGCAATTTTATTCGCGCGAGATACGGTATATACGACGCGATTCCACGTGTGCAGGTCAAAATGGGAGGGGCTCATATAATGCGTGGCACGCATAATGCGGCCGAGGCTGTCGCGACTTCTAGAGTACCATATATATTTTTGGACTTGGTATTTTACACGTCCCGCGCCCAACGACTTTCCGTGAGCACACTGATTGTAGATAGACTTGTGCATTTATTATTTTCGAGGATTTTATATATGTCGCAAATATTTGATACCTTTACAAACATCTATACATAATTGTAAAAATTAAGCGAAGCCGTAACAATTGTATATCTATTTTTGCAAAATTTATCATAAATAAAAGAGTTTCTATATTAAGCGTACTGCCTCTGAGAGGCCGAGCTATTTTCTTTATTACTCTTTAAAAGAACACGCTGTTGTGAATAGAATGAATAGAGTTTAATATTCTTCAATATTCCTCCTGTCCACAATTATGGTTCGTAATTATATGATTCGTCTTAAAAATTTCCACTTATTAATTCGTAATTTTGATTCACGTGTTTCTTTGATATGAACAATTACAGTTATGACAAGCAAGAAGTGATTCATTTTTGTGAGATAATTGTCGATTAATTGCTCCATTTCATTAAAAAAGAAAAACCCAATAAACCAGTTACCACGCGCGATAATTAATATTATCCTCCGCAATTGTGCATGCAGACGCAATGTAGAAATGGAAATATTTAGCTTGATGCAACAGTCGAGAGATGTTGCACTCTTGTTTGCGTCGATATCATTTCTTCCAGTCGATTCTGGAGCAACATTAATTAGATACGCGTTTTAATCTATATCAATTTTCTCGTTATTTCTAAAACACCTCTAGTAGATTTCCAGAATTCTTTACGCCTTAAAAAAGATAAACAACACTATTAAATGGCGTTTTTAAATTAACACTAAATAATTCTCATAAATTATATATAATTTAATTCATAAAACACCGATTTTCATTAGATGGACTGTTATATTAGTATAATTAACGAGACAGAGTGCCTAACTTGCACTTCTCTTGAGTAATTTCTAAATCATGGGGGTCTTATAAAAATTATATATAATACATATAAAATAGTTTCGAAGAATACTTTATTTAATATATGTATTGTTTCTGTACGTTTCGGAGATTTAAAGTTTCATTCTTTAATAAAATTTAATACATTTTTACTAAAAATTTGACATTATTCGATTTTTGACAGAAAATAAAAAATATGACATTCCATTTAAAAAATGAAATTGACCTTTAAATCTCCGAAACGCGTCAAAAGATATATATTAGGTAAATAATCTTTCTATGCACTCCGAAGATTTAAAGGTCAATTTTTTTAATTAAATATATTTTCCTGTGCTAAAAATTGAAATAATGTTGGCTTTTGAGTAAAAATATATTAACTTCTAGTCTTATTATTAATTATATTATATTATTGTTTAATGAAATATTAACTTTATGTCAAATGATTGACAAAGTCTCCTGGATCGTTTATCAAATATAATTGATTTTGTTCAGGTTACTTCCCGGTATACTCAGCTAGCTCTTTTTGCATTTCTGCCACATGCACCATTAGAACTTCTAACTTATGCAAGACTAATTTGGAAGCATAACATGATGAAAATTTTTCTTAGAATTCTTCAAGTAATTTTAAAACATTTTTAAATGTAATTTTAAATATTTCGGAATTCTGTACAACTTTTTAGAAAATTTCTTAGACTTTTTATACGAATTAAAAAACTTCTCAGAAGTGCTGGAGAAAATTTACATCTTTGTAAAATTCTTCATATATGTATAATATGTTATATGTACGTGAATTCTGAAATATTTTTTTAATATCTTCTCATTCTATACTTCTGTAGAAATTAAATTTATAAAATTCAAAAATGTTTAAGTTATTTTTTAAGAAATCTTTATAAATTTAATGACCAATTCTTAAAAATATTATGAGATGAGAATTTTTTCACCAGGGTGTCTTTTCATTATTATTAAAGCTTATTCTTGCCTTTTCCTTTCTGGTGAACATAAAAACCGGTGGTATATATTTTTAATTCAATATGAATCGCGGACATGATAAACAATCACGTTATAAGGTAAAATTACTCGTATTAATAAATCAAGTAAATATTGTTGCTTATTAAAATTTATGATGTTATTGAATCTCCAATTGCGATGTTTTACACGCAAATTTTAATAAAAGTAACGAAAAAAAAACATACACAGCTGTTTCAAAAAAGTATTTAGCAATATGCAATTACATATTAATTACTTCTTAAAAACAACTACACGTGTTTTCTTTCCAACTGATTTCTTTGATTATTACATAAAAGTCACTTATTAAAGGTTATTGAAAAATAAATATTTTATATAAGCGATTTCTTATATTAAAATACGTCAGAATAAAGTATAAATATTTCATAAACTATTTAATTTTTTATTTTCTTTATATCTTTTTATATAAAATAATCCCGGGAATCGATTTATACAAAAGGAATAAATTCATATTTAAAAAAATGCTGTCGTCTTTTCAGTTATCAATAAAGAAAGGAAAAAAAATAATACTTTAATGATACTGAAACTATTCTAATTTCTTCTTTACTATCTTTTCTTTTTTTGACCGTTCTAAATAAATAGACTGTATTAATTTTTCTAGAGTAAAACATTTTGGTCCTTGCCATATTTTGTTCTACAGAATTTTATATTTTTTACAGAAATTTAAGTGATTAAAGTAATATTAAGTTTCAAATTAAGTATATTTTGTTCTATATTTATACAGAATTTAATATTGGAAAATAGTGATTAAAGTAGTATTAAATTTTTTTTTAATTTTTAGAATTAAATACAAATAATATAATATTTAAAAGTATATTATATATTTCTCAACAAAATACAACTTTGATTCAAATTTATTTCGATGCATCCTATAATAACTGATGCAATATTAATACATATTAACGAATGTCGAACACGCGCGAGGTTCGAATTAGCGACCTCGTTCGCAAATCTCCTTCGTCGCGCGAAAATTCGCGATTCCGCGTGTGTTTGCGTTCCGTCTCGCGGGAATTGAAAAAAAACGATCGTGTGCACGCGCCAGCTATAAGGCCGGGTTTCTCGTCGCCAGACGAATTTCAATAAAGGCGAACACGAAGGGTAATCGCGAGGATATTTTGCGTCATCTACCGGTCCCAGCACACCTGTTTATGACATTAACAACGTTGTCGCTCAATGAGACCGAGTCCTTGGCTGACGCAAGAAAATCGGAAATTTCGCGAGAGCCGTTACAGCGCAACGGCGACGACGACGACGACGAGGGCGGCGGCGGTTGTTTTTGCTCGTCCTGTTTCTGAAACACCCGGCCCGGAAAAGTCCGCGGGCGCGCGGCAGCTAGACCGCGTTCTAAACGGAATGTTAAACACACGGCAGTAGTTCCACTTATAGCCCGTATTTTTATCACGCACCGCCGTCAGTTATCAAACACGTGCCAATAATTATCTGCGATAAGAAACGTCTCGACACGCGCGCGGTGTGCGCACAAAATACGCGGTTTAGGTGTGCGACATGTGTGATATAAAAAAAAAAAAAGAGTCTCGTCACAGATAATGTATGTCTGGCAGAAATTCGATGGATCGCTCGCGAGAGATAAGCTTAATCGTCGCACGAGCGTCAATATAGAAATTCTTTTCGTGAAAAGGCGCCCCGAAATTTATTTACTTTCTGTATTTCCCAGGGTGTCTCCATTATTTTGCAACCCTATCGAAATGCAGGAAACTAATTCAGAGTATATCCTTACAGAAATCTAATTTAATACTAGCCAATTTAATACTGAAAATTATTTTAAGTATTTTGAATGTTGAAAATTACTTTGAGTACTGGAAATTATTTTGAGAAATTATTTTGAGTTTTTGAATATTATTTAGAAGCACTGAACACAACAGTGCTTTTAAAATACTCAATTTAAAACTTAATACTACTTTAATCACTATTTTCCAATATAAAATTTCTTTAAAAAAAATATTAAATTCTGTAAATGTAGAACAAAATATACTTAATTTAAAACTTAATACTTTAATCACTATTAAATTTCTGTAAAAATATTAAATTCTGTAAATGTAGAACAAAATATGGCAAGGACGAGAATGTTTTACTCTAGAAAAATATTTTAGATAAACTAAAATAACATCGCTTTATTTCTGAGAAATATATAAATGTTAGGACTAGATAAATTATATTTTTTTCAAAATGTTCTTCTTACAACCAATACCTGCACAATTTTAGTTTAGCTCAGCAATTATCGAAAGCATTCCTAGAAGCCATTTTGTGAAAGCCATTTCAGCTCTAGAGTTGAGCGTCGCGTTCTAAATGAAGTTACATCAGCTCCGAAAAACTTATTGAGCTATCTTTGAAATATTCTACGAATTGCAAATTTCCACATTTTCTATTTTCTTAGAAATATATGTTCTAAGTCTATTTCAAAATAAAATATTTTTTTAGGTAATTATTATTTCACTTTAGGAATTATCACTTGAAAGACTAAAAATATCACTGTGAATTACGTATATATTTTTCCATTTCCTTAAACTAAATTATTTCCCTTTTTTTGTCTTTTTCAAAATAATATTTTAGAACATTTTATATTATTTTTTGCTGACAATTTAATTTTATTCTGTTAAAACGTTCAATAAACAATGTCACTTTTTTTTTTAAAACAAAATTACATTTATTAATTTAATTTCACTGTCTGCTATTTTGAAATAATTTTTCAATTGACACAAACTTGTCGAACACATATAAATAAAATAAATACGATATCACTTATCAAACGATGTACTAGCAGCTATATCGCTTGACGCGAAAATATTTATACTCTTCAGTCGTACCTAACAAATTAAGAGTAGAGAAAAACTTTACTTTTCGGTAAAACGCACTTCTATTTTTTTTTTCAAGTAATATATTGCATAATTTGGCCTACTATTTTTAGAACTGACAAGTGTTTGTTCGCATCAGCGCGAAAAAAAATTCTCCTTCGCCAATAATATTTTCACCTGCGACAGAAGTATCTTATCGATGTCGGCGAACTCACGAAATACGTCTAGCAAATTGCGATAATGCACGTGGGATTATGCAAATAAGATTTTGTGATCTTTGCGTCAACTTTTAATTCGTGGCCCTCGTGACTGCAGCCTCACGACTTTATTGCATTATGACGTCAACAGCGAGATTTTGCGAAATGCACATTTATAGAGTCTAATATCAATTTTATTCCTAAATTTAGATAGATATTATATATATAAGACATAATATTAAAAATTCAATTATCAGATATAATTAAAAATATTAATCAATCGGTTCTTTAAAAGCTACACAAAGATGTATAAATTTCGCATGTATATACTGGCCGTTAAAAATTACAAAATTGATTCATTTAATTTAATGTCAATATTCTTATAGCAGATGACATGTCAATATTATGTAATCTGCCTTTTAAAATGTATGTGTGTGTAATTAGCTTATATATATATATATATATATATATATATATATATAGTATTAAATACAAAATTATATATTTCCATCATTCAAATATTATATAAATGACAGAAAAAGAAATTAGAGATTGATCAAATCAAGATAAAACTATGCGGTGTGTGCCTTAAATGCGAGTTTCCTAATATGAGTTGGCATATTATTGGCAACACGCGAATGATAATGCGGTTAATTGATTCTTATCGGTAAAAGAGACGATATCGCAAATGTCTAAAGTCGCGTGCGTTCACGTGATACGCGTGATGGAAATTTTCTGGAAAGTGAGCCTAGTTATCTAACAGAAATTCCTCTACGAAAAATATAAAATATCTTATTATTACTATAATACATCTCGATACAAGAGAGTTTTTATTGCATCTTACTATTCTATCAAATTTAGCAAGTCACGTCTTTTGCCAACAAAAAAAAATTCGCATAAATTTCAAGAACCAATTTATCAATGTTTCCTATTCGCATATATAGTTTCTTCTCTTAAATTCCTCCACATCATGACTGACGTCAATTTTATAAGTCTTTCTTCACGCTTTCTTAAAATATCGACAATGGCAAATCTACAATTCGCTGTAATTCCGATTACTGCCGTTTTGCAATAAGTCAAATTCCCAAATTCTCGGAAGAATATATACTAAATAATTTTCAATTTACGCGTCAATATATATGGCGATTCATTTACGAATTAATTTATTCCGTGTTATCAATTCGTTAAACGTCTATCTCTATTCGTGTTTTATCTTTAATGCCAGCCCAGAGCGTCGTCCAGCATTCCAATACGCCGCATCCAAATATCAAAGATTATACGTGGTGAAACAAGTATTTATTTAAATACTCCTACATCAATGTTCTCGAATGGAAATCTCGAATGTCCTCGTGCTTGTAATAATATCCGTGTGAATTTTCAAACATCAACAACCTGCTTGACAACTGATCCTTGGAAATTCTAAAAAAAAAAAAAACCCCCCGAGAAACTACCGTTGTGCTGTCCGTTGTTTTATGGGTGTGCAAGTAGCACGCCTTATCGGCTCAGCGAACCTGCATCGGACATCTCGTGCTCACGTGGGCCTGCGTGTCCCCGAGCTGCACGCGCCTCTCGAGAGCAATGTAATGCGCCTCAATACGCCTCTCGAGAGTCTCGAGAGCGGCGCGACGCGCCCCTTTCGAGAGCAGCGCGACGCGACACGACGTCATCGATTCTCTCGTATCACACACGGCGCCTTCTTCCCCATCGTTATCATTTGATCATTTTGAGGCGTGACCTTCCTCACAGAATTTAAACATTGCTTCCGATGCCATAAAAAATCCGCTCTTCCGTTGAAAAGCAACCACATGATTTCTCTTTCTAGGAATTGTAAAAAGTTTTGCACTGAATTCTCTTTTGGATCCGCCTGAAACCTGTACACAATTCTTAATTTTTTTAACGCTAAACACATCGCGGATATAAATTGTTAAAATTAAATATATGACAATGTGAAAATCAAAGGATTTAAAAATTTTGTAAAAATTTACGACTTCTTTAGACATTAGACTTAAAGATATTTAGGGGATGAGGTGGAAGGAGATAAAATTTTTCTTAAAAAAAATCACAAATTTTAAAAATTTATGAAGGACTTTTCATTAAAACCGTGAAACTATAGTATTAACTAAAGTTTCCAAAATAATCAATTAGATGATATAATTTAGATATAGATTTGAAGGAAGACGCAAAGAGAAAGGAAGGATGAGTAATATATTCGTAATGATTTACGAAAGTATGCAATTTATTTAAGTGTAGAAAAACTTTTATATACAGTTCAACGATACACTGAAGTCTTATGCCGCCAAGCGAAGTTTCTTCACCTGACTGTGATACGCAAATACATATACATATATACACACGCTGTGCGGTCCCAGGAGCGGATGCAATATTTTACAAATTACATCAACCACAATCTATTCCTTAAAGTATATGAAACATGAAATAAACTCTGGCAGAAGAAACTGATATTTCAAATAGCTAAAAAAAAAACAGATTACAACTTTTAATAATCAACAGCACCAATATTGAAACGTCAACACGGCATTGCATCCACACCTACATTATCCATATTAATTAATATATACAACTAATCTCGTTAGCGCGATCCTTATCTTAGAAGCCTGTACATGTAAGTTATATACATAAATCAATAGTGTCTTGTCTCCTCATAAATAAATATTTTTTTTTCTTTCTTTCTGCCTCTCGGTCAACGCGCTCAAGCTTGATCCTAAAGATCTCCGTTCACCAAGAGCAGCTCTATATGTACATCCGCGCGTGTGAAACGATAGAAAAATCTAAAACGAGTCAAAGAATATCCAAGAAAATACTCGGTCTTTCGAATAACTTTTAGATCTCTATATTGTCTACATGAAGAATCGCCGATCAGCGAAGAATCGAGCGACTTTAAACGGTACCCTTTATTTTTTTAGAAATTTTAAATTCTCGTGTCCCATATGTTGCGTCAAATGCGACTGTCCATGTTCAATTTGTTCAACGCGGTGATCACATTCCATATTGTTCCGAAGTGAAAAGCATGTGGCGCGGCCGCATTTAACAACTGAATGTAAGCCGCGAATGAGAGAGTCCGACTCTCCGCAAGTGACTCGTGAGACAGCAGAACTCTCGAGTGTACGACACACTTGTCTTTGCATGTCACAGATCACAGACACATTTAGGTACTCGGTTTGAGGACGACAACAAGGGGTCCCATCCTTGCGCGATAGACCAATCGTCGACCTCGTGTCTTCGCTCGCCCACCCCTTTACGGCTCACTCTGCCCTTCTCGCTTAGCACGATTGGTTCCACACGTGGAGAGTGTAAAAAAAAAACTTACTTCCAGTAATCTCATCTTGAAACATCGAAACCCTCTTCATAACACACCCTTCCAATTGATCAGATTAATGTCAGGTCGAAGTTCGCCGTCACATTTTTTTTCCAATTAACGTCACCAAATCAAAATGTTCATTTTTCATAGTACAAATATAATTTTTAAAATTAGCTATTTTAATTTCTTGTTTTTAACATTCTCTTAATTTATCAGATCAGCCCAGTTTTGTTTTTTGTTGCTCTCCACGTTGCTAGAAGCAATGCAATCCGACTCTGATCAAGGCACGCACACGTGAGGGAGCGGCAGAGTGGAATTCTCGATCGAGCGATTTCGGCAATCGCGAGCGCGTCCTTCAAGCCGCCAGCTGAGGTGGTACCAGCTGTTGAACGGGTCGCGTCAGCCGCGGCGCCAACACCGGCAGCAAACTCACCCTCAGCGGAGCCGGGGTGGCGCCCACGATCTGGCCGCTCGGGGAGGACGACGCGGGGGAGGACTTGTCCCTGGCGTGGCGTTTCACGTGCTTCGCCAGATGATCGCTCCTCATGAATCGCCTCTGGCAGACGGCGCAGGCGAACTTCTTCTCGCCGGTGTGCGTGCGCTTGTGCCGCGACAGCTCGTCGCTGCGGGAGAAGCGACGGCTGCACTCCCCGTACGGGCACGGAAACGGCCGCTCGCCGGTGTGGGTGCGCGTGTGGGCCTTCAGGTGCGACGACTTGAAGTAGTTCTTGCCGCAGCCCGGGTGCTCGCACTCGTAGACGCGGCGCCGCGTCTCCACCGGCCCCGTTACGCTCATCGCCGCGGCGGTCGTCGCGGTGGTCACGGTCGACGCCGCGTTGGCGACCAGCAGAAGGGGCGCTCGCGGTAGGACCAGAGGCGAGCCCAGCAAGCTCGCTACCACGATGGGTGTGGGTTTGGGCGCCAGCGGTTGCAATCTCGGTAATTGCTGCTGATACTGCTGCTGCTGCTGCTGCTGCTGATGATGATGTTGCTGCGGGCAGCTCTCGCGATCGGTGTTCTTGCTGTTCACAATAATTTCTTCCTTGCGCAAGCTCATCTTGAACTTCAGGCTACGCAGCACGTCCTCCACCGGTCCCGTTACGCTCGCTCGCACGTTCGCCCGCGAACTGGGCGGCTGTCGCGCGGGCGAATCACGTGGTACCAGTTGGCCGCTGGTCGCGGGGCACCCAGCGAGATTGGCCGGACTGCAGGTGCCGTCTCGATTGGCGCGCATTATCACCGAGACCCGGGCTGGCTCTGGGCTCGGCGGCGGCGTGCCGTCTAGCAGCAGCTGAAACGATAAAAGGCCACTTTTGTACTCGAGAAGTTCGGAGAAGTTACACGTCGCCTATTCTGAAGTACACGTATGAAGTACATGAAGATATTTCTACGCGCTCGATGAAAAAATAGAAAAAAAACGTAGGATCTACAGTTTGTTCAGAAGAATAAATATATTGTGTATCTCAATGTCCGATCTATAGAAATAGATCAAATTTGAAAGATTCCGTAATGCATTGAATAATGAACAGTCAAGAAGAAATAATTTAAGGCTACATAATGTGGAATGGCCTGCAGTTCGCCTTATCGGATCGCGAATTATTTATCAATAGGGAACAGATACAGAAGTCAGCGCGCATTTTTGATGAAAGTATCGTCGGAGGGTACGCCTACTCGAAGGATAAAAAAGTGAAGTGAATGAAACGGTATGCGCGCGGCGCTCAAACGGAGTCATATCGCAACTGTTCCCGGCCCGCTCTCCATTCCAGTCGATTAAAACGAGCCGATAAATTGAAGGGAAACTAGAAGAAAAGGAAGGGTGAAAGAAAGAGAGAAAAAGAGAGAGAGGGGGAGTCGCGAAATGCAGCTGACTGTTAATAAAACGATCTGCAGCTTTATTTACCTTCGCCAGCTCGCACTGCTCGACGCACCGTCGCTTCTGGGGTGGTTCATCCTCCTCCGAGTCGGAGGGCTGAGGGGTGGGCGGTAGAACGGGATGGGAACCCGCGTCCTCTTCGTCCTTCCGCTTATTAGATCTCGCCGACTGGTCCGAAAGCTTCTCCCCCAGCAGAGCCGCAACGCTGAACGACAACTGTAGCGGTTCCATCTGCGGAACAAAAGAAGGCGTGAGCGCGCAATTTTGTCAAAAAGATTCCAGATTGCGTAAATGCCTAATAGATAAAATTATCTAGTTCAAGACATAATGAGACAGACATAATAAGAGATTAAAATAAAATGTATGAAGCAAGGAATAAATATGTTTCCAGCGTAAAATAACAGTAACACATAATTATAAGGAAAGTGCGATTGAAGGACAAAATAGATAAATAGAATTTTTCTACTTTTTTAACTTGTTTTTTTTTTAAGATTACTAAAAATTATTTACATGTACAAGCATATACATTTGCTCGTAACATACACATTGTTTATTGAGGAATAACAGAATTTCTGTAGAATATTTTATATGTTACTTATATTTTTATGTCTTATTTCATTATGTCGCGATTCTTTCATATTTGAAGTAGAATTTGAAGAACTTTGATAATCCTGTATAACCATCGAACAGAAAATAAAATTAATTCTTCAGATAACTTAAAGTCAAATTTTAGCAATTTTGAAATTCATGAAATATTAAAATCAAATTCATATCAATAAAATTAATTTAGAATATCGAAATACATAAAAGTTATTACTATTAATTTTATAATTACATTAATATCGTAAATGAAAAATTGCTCTTTCAGCTAGAAGACTATTTTACTAGTAAGAATGACGATTTACTGTCACAGAAGAATGACAAAATTCTCCAACACTTCGTAGAAGCGAAGACGTTCGAGTTTCGCGGGCAACGGGCGAGTGATCATGTTATGGCGGTATATTTAATTCTCTGTCCACTTACATGTTTTAATTGGGGCGAGGCCGGCGGGGAAAGAGGCGCCTGATTTGTATCCATATTCACACAGAGCGACGGGGACGATTCGCGGCTCGAGATAAGAAAACAAACGGAAGCCAGACACCGCTCCCCGAGAGTCAAAGCAAAATAAAAGAGAACGAAGTTATACACGCGCGCGCGCGCGCGGGCGCACACAAACACACACACACAAACACGACACGCCGAGCCCTCCTCGTGAAAACCGGAGCGACGGGAGTAGTACGCGTAAACGTGCGGGCGTCTCGCGATGCAATGAGGCTCACTCCAGGTCGGCCTGGTCGGCGCGCCTGGCTACGGGACGCGCCGACCCGCGCGCACCGTTGCGTGTGTACGTGCGTGATCACGCGGAGCGCGCGGGCGCGGCCAATCGCGGCGAGGGGCTCGCCGGCGGCCGGCCAATCGGCGCCGCCCGGTCAGCCGGCGGCCGCGTGATCGCGGGCGTGCTGTTCACGTGCTCCCAGTCTGACTCGGGCCGTGATCGTGACGTCAGCGCGCGTGGCGAACACGGTCGATACGTCATGGCGTCATGGCGCGCCCCGCGACTCCCGCGAGTCGTCATGCCTCTCTCCATCCCCCCCTCTCCACTACCACTATTCTAATGTTGTGTACGTCGGTTTCACTCTGTTAACGGCTCTGCCGTCTCTTTCCCTCTTCGTTCGCATACCGTGAACGGCCTCGTCTCTCTTCGCTTCTGTGAATCTCTTCGTCCTTCACTGCAAACTCATTTCTTCTTCTCTCTCTCTGTCTGCCTTGCTTTGTCTCTTCCTTTATCTCCTCGTCTCTCTCTCTCTTTTTCACTTTCTCATTGTTTCTTATTTCAAACGAACGCAATGACCCGCGTTCTAGGTAACAAAGATCTACATATTTTTTTCGTCGTATCACTACAGCTTGTATTTTTTTTTGTTTAAAACTACATAATTCTATCAGAATTATTTTAGGTATTGCTGTTATTTCAGTATTGCTGTTTTGTTTCTCACAGTTGAAGGGATGTAATAATTTTTAAAACATCGCCGTAATTACTCTTTCTCTTTTATTTATCTGCTATTTAATTCGTTTTAAACTTATTCAACTGAAGATACGTGAGATAATTTATAAGCGAATGTATCGGAATCAATCATAATCAACACTGTTCTGGAGAAGACAGATATTTCATTGCATATATTAGGTAAACTCGAGAAAAGTCTTTTTTTGTGAAGACATTGAATGATGTAGAAATATTGATAATCCAATAAAAATAATGCGATATAAAATATTAAATAATTTTTTTTATTCAATAAGCAAAAAGAAACCATTGAAAATAAATCGTAAAATTGTAAATATATATACACCTCTGATTTATGTACATAATCTTTTCTGTCATTTTTTCAAAAATTTTTTCTTCCCCGCTTACGCAAGCAAATTATTTCAAAACGTCCTACATTACCGCGTTGCTTATAGCGATGACCTGACACGCGTCGCGACAAGCCCGCATCCGGAGTAATCGGCTGCAACAAACGGCGGAAGGAGGACCGTACCGAGCCTCTTCGGATTGACGAGGCATTGGAGGCAGCGTTGGATACCTCGAAGCCCCAACACTTTGTTCCACGCCATTTGCGCGTATAAAACAATGATGCATCGGAAAGTCGAATGCAGAAATATGTATCTCGCATCCGAAATGCCGTGCCGTTGCGAAAAACCTTTAAGAGCGGCCTTCCGAACGTATGTACGTCAGCCAAGCGGATAATAAATACATTGGGAGAGAAAAAGAACACTTTCGAGATATATTCTCATTTCAATATATACATCTCTCGCGACGTCGAGAGAATATATATTATTTGTCAATTTATATTATTCGATCTCTGGCAGGACAAAAAAATGGAAATTTGCGAAAGATAGCGAAACTGGTAGTCGAATGATGAATTACGTATGATACGTAACAACCAATGAGATAAATCACTTCGGCACGCGCGATGTTACTCGTATATCTTCGTCCTTCCTGCGGCGATAACAGATTCGATGAACGCGCGACATTGATTACATCGGCGGACATGCGTTCGACAATCGGTGGTGTGATTTTGCCGAGTAAGTAAATATGCGAGATACGCATATTTTATTTTTCGACAAAAAAACTACTCTTTCTCTGTTGAAATTATTTCGCCCATTTTTATTGGTTTTCCAATTAAATTTAACGCGAATATATACGCGTACGTAAGTTTCATAATTCCCCACATTTACTGTAAGAAAAAAATTATGCAGAGGAAAGACTAGCAAGTTTATTTCATTACAATACTGGAAAAAAATATCTGATTGTATTAACTGGAAATCTGATTCAACAAAAGGTATATAATCGTATAATTAAATCTGTCAAACTCTAGTCGAAATAATTAGAGATTCAATTATATAAGAAATTCTGATATTATCAGAATGCACTTTGCATATATTTTTTGGTTGTTTAAGAGTTGTGTTGGATTAAGTCGTTAATAATTAAAAGTTTCGCGGTCGGTCGGAATATTAGCGTTACAATTTGTTCTTATCGTTAGCCGAAGTACAGAATACATCTGATACTCCAATCGTGTCTGCAAGTTGACACCTCGACTTCTCCTTTCCTTGAGATCGGTTATCTACATATTATCTCTTTCCGTTCCGTGATCGTCCTTCGAAAAGCAAAAATATTTTCTATCTGAATTTGCTGTTATCATTGATGTACATATTTGAAAATCGTCGTTTAATTTTATACAAGAAACTGCTTAAATAAGAAATAAAAAACGATCTGAAATTGATAAAGATACGCAACTGCAATTATTGTAATTAAAAAAAAAATACAAAGAGATATTCCCTAGATTTGACATCAGCGGAAAAAAAAAATTAAATACGTATTGCGTTCGTCCTTGTGTTCACTGCAGATACCGTACGCACGTGTATGATGTATGATGTGCATCGCGAATATATAATATGTATGCGCGCGTGTAGGAAACGTGCTACATTCTAACGAATCTCACGCGATCCGGTTTTTTAAGAATCGATGCAATCACCACAGTTGTACAAACAAAAAATATATGCAAAGTGCATTCTGATACCAATCAAAATTCCTTATATAATTGAATCTCTAATTATTTCGACCAGAGCGTTTGACAGATTTGATTATACGAGTGTATATATATATATCTTTTGTTGAATCAGATTTCCAGTTAATACAATCAGATATTTTTCTCCAGTATTGTAATGAAACAAACTTGCTAGTCTTTCCTCTGCATAATTTTTTTTTCCTCATTCAAGTGGAAACGCGCGGAAATGCAGTCACGAAGAGTACTCGGAAAATTCGGAAAAACCGGGAGTTCCCGGTTTACGAGGAAGTAACGAGGAACGCTCCACGCGGCGACGATTGTATTAAATATATCAGCCGCCCACTTCGAGGAATGGTTAATTCCATTCTCTCGCCTCAGCCTTGTTTTCAATCTGTACGCCGAACGCTGCAATACAGATTTGAATCCGTGCGAATTGCTTAAGAGCAGATTAGATAGATTATATTGACCTAATCTATCTAATCTACTCCTATGAGTAAAGAAGAATGAAAAAAAATATCGTATCTACGTTAGTTACGTCAGTAGTAATACTTAAGGATGTTCGGATTGTGTATATACAATATCAGCTGAAAGTATCAGCCAAAAAGCCAATATCAGCTGATTGGCTGATTTTTGATCATATACGCCTTGAAACCAACTGCAATAAACAAAATAACGAATAATTTGGCTTATAATGATTTATACAGCGCAATGACTATATTTTGTTTTAGATAAAACTAGCTGCAGCAAAAAAGAAATTAGAAAAAAATAAGTTTTAAAAATTAAACGAGTAAATAAATATAAATAAACTTTTGCATAAATATTTATTGGGATTTTATTAGCATATACGTGAAAAGTTTAATTTAATTCGTAATGCCGCTTCGTCGTCAAATTTGCAAATTAGTATTACAAGAGGCGATTATTTTTACATATAAGAAATGCAAACGAAGAAATCAAATAATTTTTATGTAAGAGAATTGTGCTCAATTTTACACAGATATAAATATTTATACGTAATAATAGAACAATCTAGGAAATTTTTATATTTATTTTATATTGCTCTTTAAAAAGTGCACATCCTTAACGTAAGGATGTAACGTAAGGATCGCCTTTTTATTATTCGAATTTTGCAGAAATTCTTCAGAAAGTTACGTTTCGTTTAAGATACGTTCCGGCAGAAACCACAATCGTCTATTGTCTCGCGTGAGCTTTGCGAGGACGAGTGTCCGCTGCAAATCATTAATATATGTCGAGTGCACTTCGACTCATTCGTTTGATTGGGGTGTTTTTGTCACAATCGGCCTTTAGGATGATGGCGCTCGACGGCTCGAGAAGAATCACTGAGATGCAGACTCGCGTCTCATCCCAAATTAAAGCCGTTCGTTTATTTCTGGTTCAGAAACCCATATATCTCGTTATACTGTTTATCATTACGTCTCTCGATGCGCCCGACACGGCCGCGCGAATCAGCCGCCGTGCTCGTGATCGACGAGCGCGTGGCCGCCGCGCCGGAGGCCTCGGCGCGGCTCGCTATCTGCGGAGTTAAACAACTCGCCGACGCGCAAAAGTGTCGTTGATCTTGTTTTCGAAGGCGAATAAGGGTATCGGAGCGGAGCGCGAGAGACTGCGCGATCGATCCTCACGATTGCCGAAACTTCTACGCGGAGTTCCAAACGGACGATCGCTTATCGGGGCTCTCTTGCGGGACCCTAAAAATCGAGCGTCGGAAAAGAATTGAAATACGCGAAAGAATTCAATTACACTAATCTGCGAATTGAAATCTTAGAATGCCTAAATAGAGGTAATTGTCTTCCGATTAGTTTTTTTCGGATGTTGAATACGATTTTATTTATCACATTGCTGCATACCATAATTTTGAGAAAAATGACATCAAAGAAGCTAAAAATTATGATTTTGAGGATTTTCATGACGTTATAACGGTAAATTTTTTTTTATAAATTTCGTTAATGCCACGCGAAGGTATACTTTTCAAGTTTTAACTTTAAAATGTGTTTTATTTCGATATGAGTTTTCGTTTTGTGATAACCAAATTTGGACAATTTGGATTCGTGTTCAGCATCATAAAAATACATTGAAAAGAGCTGAAGTGGTTTTAGCTTAAAATAATCTTTTTTTTTATAGTCTTTTGCAGACTAGTGCTATTATATCTTTTTTGTTAGAACAATATAATACATGTATATTTATCGTTGTCGCAAATAAATAAAGAGCTCATAAAAAAGACACGTATCATTTTCGCGAGAATTTTTACGATACCGAGATTCGAAACTCGAGCGAAACAAAATGACGCGTAGAAAATCAATTTTCTAATTATCGACAATTATTCATTGCGTGATGCGCTTCTGCAACTGCGCAAAATTTTTGTCGTACATTTTGTTTAGATAGCGCTTAATGCGCTTGGCTTCTATTTTTTTCTACTTTTGTTTTTCTACTTTTATTCTTTTTTTTTTGTACCTTTTCTACCAAGGTTGTATAATTATCGACGATGTCGCGACGGGGAATCCGCGGGACTTTGATCGCAGAAAGTTTCTCGCGCGATTCCATTGAGGAGCACCCGTGCAGCCAGCCACGCGCGTTTCCGTTGACACGGTGTGTCGCAATAAATAATTCACGAGACGATTAAACGCTCTTTCGACGCGACGCGTCTGTTTGCGACCTGCAAGCAGACCGAGAGACGCAAACGACGTGCGGGACGGCCGTCTCTCTGGCGGGGCGAAGGTGGATCGCGTGCGTCAGGGCGATTTTTAGGGTCGCTTTGACGGAGGGAGGAGGGGGAAGAGGGGAATCGATGGCTGGTCCATAGATAAACATGTTAGTAGGTCAACGTCGCGAAATACTTAACGTACATAAAACCGAAATCCCGTTGCGATGACGTTAGGAATGAGAGGTGAATCTTAAAGGTTTACCCTGGAAATTTCGGTGAAGCTTTAATCTTCTACAACGCAAATTATTTATCGCTTTCGAGTAATCGTTCACTTCTATATTTGGAGCAGTTTCATTAGAAGAGATATATTAGTTGCGATTTCTCATGCCAAGATAAAATTGCAGATAACAATTTCTTTGGAATGACTGTTTGGTATAGTTGCGCTATTACTTTCAAGTCATAATTAATGGCGCACAGTGAGTGGCATAGAAATTAGATCAGATTTAAAAGATACACAGTGTAGGTTATCTCAAAATCACAATGTGTTATAGAAGCTGTTATGAGAAAGTTATTCAGAAAGTTATTTAATATGCGCTATAAGCTGCATTAAATTATGTTCATTTTTTAAATGAATGAGCAACTTGCTGTTAATTATGATGTGCTTCTATATACTTTTATATATATGACAGGTTTCATTATTTATAAAAATAATTATAACTAATAAAAATTATAAATTAAGTTATTAATAAATTATTTAAATAAAATGTCTAATATACCATATTATATGCTCAATTCAAAAAAATATTATATATCTGAAAACTAATAATATAAGTAGTCTGTTAAAGGTCGAAATTCAAATCAATTATGTCGAATTTTTTTTTATTATTAATATAATTTTTTTTTAAACTGTACCTGAAGAATTTAAATTTACATTTACAGTGCTAAAAATACAAACAGTTCAGTCTTGGAAAAATTTCAACCAGTTTATTCAGAAAATTATTTAAATACCTTATATATCATAGACACAATATATCTCAATTTTCTATAATTAAAAAAATTACTAAAAGAATTTTCATCATTATTTCATTATTAATTTATTTGTATCTTCAGCACTATTCTCTTATTCTTAGTTATCAAATGATTAAGAATTAATTTCCTGACATTTCGTTCGACGTATACATATATATATATATGTATATATATATATATATATATATATATATACATATATACGTGGATCGTTCGCTTAACGTTGTCGTAAAATAATTTTTCGTAAAATATTTTTTTTTTATATATAAAAGAATTGTATAAGATGAAAGTGGTAAACGTTTCACAGAGATAGATCTCTCTGCAAATAATGACGTTATACTAACGGCATTAGTTAACCACAGTCTAAAAAATAGTCTGAAAAAAATGTTATCAATTCAATAACACTAACAGTATCGAAACAAATGTGTCTTATGCTTTTACTGTAATAAAATGCTATTTGTTTAATTAAGGTAAACGTATCAGTGACTGAACGTGTATATCTACAGCTGAGTAAGTACACAAAACAAGCATAAAAACTTATTCTTATAAATGCTTTCTTTCATAATATTATAATTTAATTGTAAATATTTTCGTTAAATATTTTTAATGTTAATGTAATATTAATGTTAAATATTTTTACAATTTTTACAATTTAATGTTAAGGTAATATTAATGTTAAATATTTTTACATTTAAATTTTGATATTATAATAAAAAAAGCATTTGAGATTAATAAATTTTGTACACGCGTTCAGATATACAGATACATATATATTCAGTCACTGGTACGTTTACTTTAATACTGTTACTGAATTAATAAGATTATTTTCAAAACTGGATTGCTGTTAATACATCACTTTTTTTCATGTAGAATCCCTAATGCCTTAATAATCCTGTACGCATATGAAGTAAATGCACTAACCTGTATGCATTTTCTATGTATGCCTCAATTGCGACAAGCGCCATAATTCGCGTGTACAAGGATATTAAAATGACCATGTATACCGCGTTGCGATATATCGCGTTTTGTTTTCCCGTGACAAGGCGCACAGGCACGTGTGCAATCGCCATGAAGAATTCCGCAGCAAAGAATCGCTCACGGTATGTTTACATACATACGTATACGAAGCGGCCGGGCAGCGTGGACGCGATCGCGTTGCACCATTCACCGTTTCGCGAGAGCGGCGAACATCGATGACGAAACGGGCTGCCGGAGCAGTCGGCCGGGCCCTTCATGTATGCAGGTATACGACGGGAAATGGCAATAATACCGAACCGGCCTGTGTTTTTCAAACGTACACTTGGTGACTTTATTTTCCGAATTCTGGTATTTTTTTTATTAGCTTCTTCGCAGCCGCTAAAATAAAATGAGTAATTAATGCGCATATACATTTTTGAGAAATAAAAAGGAGAATATAAAGTTTTATTTACAATTTACGATTACAGTTCGTGATCCGCGTGTGAAGTGGAGCACAGTCCAAGCTAATCGCGATATCATGACTTCTACATGCCGAACCACTACTTGCCGGCACGCGAATACGTGTACTTTTCGCGTCGCACGTGCGGCGATTGTTTGAATTAAATTCGATAGGCCACGAAGCGCCATCTCTTAGAGTCTCAAATGATCTATTATATTAATATTGTAAAAACTGTAGGTAAGGTCTGTCTTGTATGTATTTAGTATTCCGCCGCCTTCTGTCACATTCCATTACGGTCTGCTGGTGAATCTGGATTCATTTCGCAGAGGTGAGTGTATACTTAATTGAAAATTAATTTAGTGAATTTAAATCTGATGTTTATCCGAACTATTTTTGAAATTTTATCCAAATTATATAATCGGATATAATAATTATATTTTGATAGCTCTCCTGAATTTTTAATAAATATTATATTATAAAGATTTAAAAATCCCTAAAATTAACCCCCCTCATTTATTATATTATTCTTTATCATATTTTCTCAGAGTTTTAATTTTCAATATTTTCATTCATAACAATTAATTGATTAGGGAGGACTTACAAAAAAAAGATCAAAATTAATTTTAATAAGCACGCGCGTTTTAGAAATGTATACAATTTAAATTAAATATATTAAAAGCACATAAATAATTTATCATATGAACATTCATGCTTGTGTGATTTTATATAATATATTGATTAACTTTGATATGATTTGTTACTTATACAATTTTCTATAAACTATTATTGTTAATTAAATTATTGTTTATTTTATTTACATATTCTACATTGAATTTTCGTGATTATAAGCTTTATAGTTTTGACTTTTTTCGGCACATTATATTTTTTTCACTTTGTTTCATATTTATAACGTTTCAATATTTTGTTCAGCAAACAATAGTCAATATTTATCTGAAGTTTCAAGATATGCAGTTCTAACGTAATTGGCTTATGACATCTATAAATATAATATAAAATCTATGTCATATTTAATGGGTACTTATGGTCATATTTAATGGGTATACTTCGATTGACATATATTTACGTCTGATGTGAATTTCTGCAGATTTCTTTACTTGTTTACTTATTTAACAATTTTATTTATCGGTTAAGAATATTTTCAATATTATTAAATATTTAATGAAAACAATATAATTTATATTGATATTAAAAAAAAACAATAAAGTATTAAAAAATAATACACTAAATTTAAAAAGAGAATTATGATCATTGTTCTATTTTTTTTGCTTATATACAAGATTTGCCATTTTAACTTACAATTAGAAAATATTTTGAAAGCAATGCGTTTACGAAAAATTTTTCGATTTTATTGGGTCTCTCATCAGAGTTGAATACCGAAAATCGGCAATCAAAGGATTAATAATTATACATTTTAGTAGTTAATTACGTTGATTGGAAAAATATATATGTATATTTTATAAATTCTATATCTATATTCTATAGCAATAATCATAAAATAATTAACTTCAATTACATATATATTATAAAAAAGAAATAATTACTGCCACGGCATCAATCCAAGTAAAATATGCAATGTCACAGTGACGTCAAGCAAAATTCAATGAACTTTTTTTTCTAATCTCAGTCAAGATATATATGTGACATCATGACCTTCATATAATATATGTTACATCGAGTGTTACTCGGAAATTGATACATTGAATGACGCGGCGAGAAAACGGCGACGAGCTGCGTTCCGCGATGTTTACTATCGGCACTGAATATCTACAGCATACGCCACACCTATGACACATCGCCACGCGCGCTATAGATTCTTCAGCACTGCGACAGTAGTGAATATCGGAACGTAGCCAATTTGGAAACGTAGGAATTTGGAAAAAATAAAATCTATTTCAATACACGTGTATCTTCATTATAAGTGCAGGAAGTGTAGACAGCAACCTCTCTGCCCGCTCAGCCCGCACTAAAATATAAAGATAACGCTGGATAACGCATGACACTGTATTGATACTGCGAACGTGGATTCCAAAGTGCGCCTGCTCTTATTGCTTCTCCTGACGAGCGTTCCGCCGAGTGAGCCGCGAGCCGCGCGAGGAAGTTATGACGACCTTGACGAATCTACCGCCGATAGCGAGGCTCTCCAGCAGGGTGATCCGGATCCTGGGATGCAATCCCGGCCCGATGACACTGCAGGGCACCAACACCTACCTCGTGGGCACTGGACGCAGGTGACAAACGTCATTCGTGTTCTTGCCTCTGTGAGGTGTTCGACGACACACTGCCGAAAGTTATTTTATTTTGACAGCAAAGAGAGAGAAAGTTGAACATTTTTGCAATTGACGTCAATAAAACGTCATTTTCTTCAATCAATAAAGATGAACGGTATCGCAATTGCGCGATTTTAGGTTAAAAACATACCAATCGTACTAAATGTATCGAGTAAATAAATTTGAAATTTACGTGAGACTTCGAAAAAATGACGTTTAAATATTTACGTGAGGAAGAATTAATTGTAATTGCCGCTGTCGTGTTCGAAGATCAAAGGGGAATAGAAATCACAGGAGGGTGCAAGACTTTTTTTTTTAAGGTTAGGTTTCACGCTCTGAATTGTAAACACGTGCTTGCGCCAATAGGTAGCGCAATTTTCAAATTATTAAGGGTAAAATAACATTTTGTTTATTCGGACGAAAAAAGACAAAAGCGTTTGTCTCAATTATACTGCTCAAGAAAAAATGACTTTTTCGAACACAAAATTGAGAATAATTGTTTGTCATTTTTTTGGGAGGACTTGAATTAATATCATACGATCAGTCAAATTGTATAACATGTATTAATTTATTCTATTGCCTCATTACCTGGGAATCAATTATTTTATTTATTCTTGTGCATTTTGTTTTATTTTTATTAATAAAGTTGAAAATATTAGAGAAAATATTTAGAAGATAATACATAATTTCTAATTATATTATAATTATTACTATGTTATTAATAATTAACAATAAGTCTGAAGCATTTCTGAAAAGAGTTATAATTATACATAATTTCTAATTATATTATTGCTGTGTTATAATAATTAAGTTATCTGAAATATTTCTGAAAAGCTGTATATAAATATATATATATATATAACAAAAATGAGAAAATAAGTAAACTAGTGACATTAAAATAAATTATAAAATACACTTTCGTAGCAACTAATGACGTTATGTGTATATTTTTCAGAATAATCGCTCTAAGCTATTAAAGATCTTTTTCCTGCATCTCTTTCTTAATATTATTTATTAATCAATTAAAAATCACGTAGCAGAGCGATAAATGAAATACATATTTATAAATAAATTTAGAAAAATTAAATGTAGAGGTGGCAAATGTGAAAAAAATGCGCTGTCTCCCAAATTAATTTTTTTTTTAACGAACAATTTCGTTTTGCAGACGTGTGCTGGTTGACTCAACAGAAGCGAAAACCGCCGACGCCTACGTGAAACTTCTGGACAGCGTGTTGAGCGAGGAGAACGCGACCATCGAGCATCTGGTCGTCACCCATTGGCATCACGATCACATCGGCGGCGTGGAGTCCGTGCGGAACTTGGTGAAGAGGCTGTCCCCCACGGGCAAGCAGCTGACCGTGTGGAAATTACCGCGGTCGCTGAACGACACGAACAGATCGGACGACGAGAAAACCGTCCAGTGGCAACCCCTGAGGAACAATCAGATGGTGGAGGTCGAAGGGGCGAGGCTCCAGATCATGTACACGCCGGGACACACCAGCGATCATGCCTGCCTGCTGCTGCAGGACGAGAATATCCTGTTCAGCGGCGACTGCATCCTCGGCGAGGGCACGTCGGTCTTCGAGGACCTACACGATTACATGGTGTCGCTGAACGAGATCCTGGAGCTGCGGCCCAAGACGATTTATCCGGGCCACGGACCGGTTCTGGAGGATCCTATACCGCGTATACAGTATTACATCAAGCACAGGCAGCAGAGGGAGGAGGATATTCTGCGAATGCTGCAGGAGCAGGGAAACGACAAGTCGATGACGGAGATGGATATCGTCAGGCTGATATACAAGGTATAAAATATTCACCATTCTCTTCGAGATGTTGTTTTAAACACTTTGAAATAATCCAAGGTACAACAAAGTTTTACTTATGCAAGTGATTAATTTGTTTTTCCAAAAAGAATTGAAATTAAAAATATTTGCGCAGGAAACCCCTGAGAAATTGTTGTTGGTCGCGGCATTTACTGTGGGACATCATCTTCGCAAGCTACAGAAAGAGGGGAAGGTCTTGCAAGAAGAAGACGGTGGCTGGTGGAGAATTAAGGGGAAAATATAAATAGAATAATTGAAATTAGATAAAATTGAGTATTTGAGGGTCGGCAGGAGCGACAGGCCAATTCCATTTACACCTCATTTGCATATAGATACGTATCTATATTTTGTCTCGTAAAATAGAAATATTTTGCCACGAGTCTTTTCCATGTTTTGAGCTGAAGTTGCAAAACCTGCTATACAGCCGGATTTTGCAATTTATTGCTTAAAATATCATAAATAAAATTATCCGCATTTCACTACAGTGCAGATATTAAAATAAAATTTTATTTTGCTTATTGTTTCCAAAAAAATCACTTTAAATAAGATGCAGGCAATTCTTGTGGATATCATTATTATATTGCAATTATATCGATATTTTAGTTATAACTTGGAACAAGAGAAATTCGTTTCCAACAACGATCTCCGTTGTGACTTCTGCCGATCCTTAAAAGTGCCGAAATAATTTCGGCCAAAAACTCATGAAATACCAATTCTAGAAAAAAAACTTTAATCATGTTTTTTGTATATAAGCATATTTAATGTATATAAGTATATTTTAAATTTATTATATCAATAAAATTTATTTTATAATACAAATTTAATTACGATTATATTATATGTATATGTCTTAATTAATTTTGCATTATAAATAAATATATATATATGTGTATACAAATCTGAAATTAATAAAAGAAATTAATTATAATAAATATTAATTAACCAAAAGAATTCTGAATTAATCCAATGATCGAATTGGTAATTTAAAGACGCCCGCTCTGGAAAAGTCAAGAGGTCTCATCTTCAATGGGCTCCTAGCTAAGGTAAAAAATATTTTTCGCTGCAAATCCGACATTAATTTGATGCGGTATAGTTTAAATGACTGAATAATGATTTGAAATTTATATAAAAATATTGTTAGGATCAAGATCCACTCTCGGCTGTGGAAGATGCTCTTAAATTTATTTGTATTATATTCACTTACGCGGTCTAATTCAAATTAATATTGTTATTGTAAGTCTGAATTAAGTTTTTACTGACATTGAAGGAAACCTCAGAGCGAGACATAGAACGCGCGTGAGAATATCATTGTGAAACATTTATTCAACTTACAGGAGTAAATAATGATACATTGTTACGAATTTCTGTCGAAGTTAGGCTGGTAGCTGTTATCAGTGACGTGCGTACAACGAGAAGAGCACACGTTTACGACAATTTTTCACGAGGTACATATCGCAAGTGATACACAAGTTATCTTCCCTGTTGAGGCGAACCATTAGTCATCGCGTGCAGCTACGGACACATTACAACGGTCAATATAAAATATATATATGTATGTATGTTGTATATATATATATGTGTGTATATATACTTGGCTACAAAGACATGTTGCTGTCGCGACAATAAATGTTTCTTTATATTTTTCATTATAAAATCTCTCTCTTTCTCTTTCTCGCTCTCTCGCTCTCTGTCTACTAGCTATATAATCTTGGCGAATATTAGCACCGCTCGTCTTGAACATGTGGGGAACTACCCCGAAAAATTCGATGTCGCGATATACGTACATGGAATATCGCTAAAGTGCGAAACATTGAAATAAACATGATGATTCAAGAAGTCGATGATTCAATAATTTTTTTTTTAACACCTAGGAATACCGGAGATCAGAAATCTCATTACTTAAAATTCAAGAGAATAGTTCAGTATTCCTAGGATTTTCCTCTATTAGGGGAATCTTGAGGGGTGGAAACTAATGTGTTAAAAGTTAAAAACATGAGAAGTTTGTACGACTTTGAAAATTCAACAATTCCAGAATTTAGAAAATTTTAGATATTATTCTTAATCTGATGATTTTGAAGATCATCGATGATCTCAAGAATCCAGGCACGATCATATAATATATTCCTCCAAAAACGTAAACTCGACGTTTACTGCGCGATGTTCCTTTAACCAATTCGATCGATACGTAATCGTATCGTATCGTTCTGACTCCCGAAAAAGTTCATGCGGAATCAGAATGAGCGAAGAGTTACATGCCCTGAGGATTTTTATCTGAGTAAATTTGAAAGGAATACAGAAAAGAAAATATATTAATTGTTAAAGAGCTTCGCAACGCACTTCAGTTATATCCGATATATATATATATATATAATAATTATATTGGACATGTATCCTTAATAAGCTCACTTTGTTACTTAACTCGCTCTCTACTCTCTCTTTGGATAAACGTAAAAAATATATATATATTTTATATATATATATTTATATATATATATATATTTACTATTTTTCAACATACAACATAATCTCTCACTCTCTCTCTTTCATTTCCTGTCATTTTTCTATTCCTCTATGAAATAATGATAACATTTAATGCATTCACATAACTCCATTATCATTATCGATGTACTAGATAACAAAAAAGAGAAGAAAAACAAAATAACTTCGATTATCGAACAATATACATAATTCTAAACATACGAAATATATACTTGAGACATGTGGAGACCACAGCGACGAGATGATCCATTCTTTCGCAATGAAATCAAGTCAATAATAATCACAACGGCGTAATCGGTAATGTAAGTTCACATAATTACGCGTATGTGTTCGCACCCATTCTGGCCATCTATTTTTCTTTTATCTTCGCAAAAAACGAGAAGTAAAGACTCCAAGATTCGAGGAATGAAACTGGAAACTTGGCCTCTTATTTCACTATCTCTGAATTAACTTCTCAATTTCTTTCGTGTCAATATTAAATTATTAATTACCTCTAAAAATCCCACGATATTGGATCCCAATATTGTGCGTGGGCGTCAGTTTTTGAAACGCAACGCAAGTTTTGACGATTAATTAATTATCCGGACAACATATTTTTCTGCGTTTGCATTATTCACTCGGTGAATCCTGCAAGTAAAAAGAATTCGTAACCAAGATAAAGCATGCAAAAACCAAGATAATATGCGACGCATATCTAGAATGCATATACATCCTGTTGGAGATAAATAAACGAATCGCCAAGAAATTTGACAATTCATAGAAAAGATAAAACGTATAGAAAGAAAGGAAAGATGTGTGAAAGAGAAGAACATCTGAATTTGTCGCGCTTTCTCGTGCGCCCGTCTTATACTTAAATGTTAATAGTACTATGACGATCTGCTGCTGTGGACGGCGTTTCTCTCTTCGCCGTGAATCACAGAACGATCAGGAAGTATCTCTGAAAACTTTGGGTCATTACGAAACGTGTTATTATAATGCTTTCGATAAAAATAGCCAAATATCTCACAAATGTCTTATTGTATAGGTACCGAATAAAATTGACCGGATAAAATTAAAAATAAAACTAACCCTTTCGGCACGAAGAATATCGAATCCGAGTAGATTATATGATCCGAGTAGAATATCGAATCCGAGGAGAGTATATGAAAACAGTTCTTACGTTTCTTTAAAAACGCACGAAATCCACAAGTGCGTATGTATTACAGTAGCTATATGTACTATTAAAACGTGCTTCTAAATGCTCGTCTAGCAGGAACGCTTTTCAATTGGACTCTGCCGTACCGAAAGGATTGAAAAGTCCAACAATCGGAGATTGGAAACTTCTATAAAAATTCGTAATTACGAAAAACTCTGAAGCTAGAGAACTTGTGTTGTGCTGAGACCCAAAGTTGACATAGTGCACTTCTACTTTCCCTTCTACAAAAAAAGTGTGACTTCGCATCACAAACGTGACACAGAACTGTTAGCGTCGGGGATAAGGTGGTCGACCCTGCAACCCGACGAGTCGAGATTAATCCTGCACAGTAATAAATCCAGGCAACGCAAAGGTCCAACAAAAAAAAAAAACATATATATTCTACAAGACGTTTTCATTGTCCAAAACGTTCTTGAAATCATGTATCCCACATTTAGCTAGTTAACGGCCTTAGGTCTAAGCTCCATGTAACGTTTTAAACACTCTTCAATGTGAGGCAAGTGAGATTTGAAACTAGCCAGCTATATTTTTAGCACCAAATGCAGGAGACAGAAGGCAGATTCCTTTATAAACTTTTTTCATTCGGAAAAATAAATTTCGTCGGAGAAAATGTCATTCTCTCCGCCTCTGCTGAGAAAACGCGATTGTACTACAAGAGGAATCCGCTTTGCGGAAGCTGCTCGAAACAGTTGGGATTGATGTAGCTCAGAAGATCGTGTTCCGACATGGAGGTGAGCTCCTGGGGCAACATTCCGTCCTCGGTCTTCCTGTTGGACGCGGCACTCGCGGCGGGATTGGGAATCGGAGCGTTCACAGTCTGGCGATTTGGAGTGACCGGGAGTGCGACCGGTACCGGCGGCGATTTGTTGGCGATGATGTTGTTTTGCGCCTGCTCGATGATGTTGTTTTGCGCCGAGGGGGACTTGGGCAGGATCCCCTCCATCGCGTTGTTCATCAACTGTGCGCTTTGGGTCGCCACGCTGTTCAGAATTTTCTTCGTGGCGATGATTGCGTGAGCGGTGGTCGTCGAGATCGGCCGATTGTTGATAATGTCCTTCGTGGCGTTGGTGATGACATTGTTGATAGCTTGCTCCGCCGCGTTGGTCAAACGCTGTTGAGAGGGTTCCTGGGCGGCCCCGCTAGCCAGAGCGGAGCTGGCTTCGGCCACAAGATTCGCGGGCTGGCTCAGCATGGAGCCGATGTCTTGCTGGACAGCCTGCTGCATGGCCTGGGCCGCTTGAGCCTGTTGGATAGCCTGCTGTACTGCTTGAACCTGAAACATTTTTTTCGTGCACTTGACATTAATTATTGTACTCAATTTGGAATACACATATATAATTTTTAATGACTAACAAACAATGATAGAGAGAGAAGCAATAAATCTTTTAAAAGAGTGTAGAATTATTAAAATTTTGTCTGTTAATTTTAGATTTTTCAAGAAAAACATGTATATTTAAAAGTTTGCATATGCTTCTATATATTTCTATATACATATAATAAATTAAATAGTAAATGTATATAAAATTATCACTAACCTGCTGCACCACTTCCTGCGTTGCTTGATGCACTGCTTGTTGCACCTCTTCTTCAGCCTCCTGCACCATTTGGGGGGCTGCTTGAACTTGCTGCACAGCCTGCACCTTTTGCACCGCTTGCTGCACTACTTGAGCATGCTGCACCACTTGCTGAACTACCTGTTGCTGGGCCTGATGCACTACCTGGACCGCCTGTTGGTGCGCTTGCGCAACGACTTGCTCGACTTGCTGCTGCGCTTGCGCTACTACCTGTTCCACCTGTTGTACCTGTTGCTGCATCACGGCTACCTCTTGTTGTGTGAGTGCTTGCATCTGTTGCTGCATCGCACGCTCCGCCGCGACTGCCGGATTCACATTGCCAGCAACCTGAAAAGAAAAAAACAGGAAGAACACCATTATATTTATTTGCATTAAAGAATTTTAGCCTGAAAATTTTTGTTCTAAATGTAGTACATATTTATAATTTACATTTTTTTTATTTTGTTTTAAGATTCAAAATTTGGTTCTAAAAAATGTTTTTCCTAAGTTTAATTTCTAAGTTCCAAATTTATACTACTAACTTTCTCGGTCCATTTATGTTTTTTTTGTTTTCGGTTAAGAAATACCGTAGTGTTTGACGTGGCGGCTGCTGCGCTGACTTGCGCCTCCGGCAACGGCGGTAATAGCGCCGCGTTAATACTAGTTAGCAAATTATCTCCCGTTTGTTCGATCGTCGCCGTAGGCGCTACCGTTGTCGCAATCTCTGCCATTGGCTGCACCGTCTGCGACGGGATCAGCGCTTCCAGCAGCATTGTCTTCACCGGAATCGGTGGACTAGTTCTAGTCTGCTGACCGCTACCAATCGGCTCGTGTTCCGCTGCCACGTGGCTCAACATTGCAGTCGGATTAGGATTCACCGAGTGCAACGGAGAGACCAGTTGTTCAGCTGCGGAGTTCACTAAAGCGTCCAATGACTTTACTGAAGTTTGTGCTGAAAAGAATACCGTCACAATGTCTCACTGTTTTCTACATCATACAAGAAATGTATTCCTCTTATATTATCTAATTTGTAACTTGTAGTTTTCAATAGAGAAATTAGGAACATTAAATTCATTATAAATAAAATAAAAAGAGATTACGTTCCTAAATTGTGATTTTACTACGTAAAGTAATAGACCTTTTTCTGTGCAATATTGTACCTGCATTGGTTAGTATTCCCGGGGCCGCCGACTGTTGGTTGCTTCCCGAAATAATGGAAGCCCGCTGCTGTTGCATAGCGAACTCGTTTTCTGGATTATTAGATTCTTCGGTGGTGCCGACCGAGGTCTCTATGTGATTCAGGTACTTTTCCACCACGTGACTGCTCGGCGCTGACAACGGCTGCGTCCCGGAAGCACCGGTGAAACTCGATAGCGTACCGAAGTCGGGATGATGGTGGTGTTTCATGCGAAGATCCACTACGCCGGCACCTTGAAGGGCAGCTCCATTGGAGCCATTGTCCGTTGGCGGGACACTGTTCGTGTCCTTAAGGCGATGAGGACTAAGAACTTGGACCTGAGTTGATTCATGCATGCCTACAATCGACAGTTAAGAAATGTCTATTTTAAGAACTGAAACTATTTAGAATTTAAAATTAAAAAATGAGAGTAATCAAGACTTTATTGATTGAGTTTACCAAGTGCAAGAATTGATAAAATAACTGATAAAACTTATTTAAAATAGCAAATATAAAATAGATTCCAGAAACCTATTTAAAATAAAATATCGCAGGGACCAATAAAAAACTGATACGACTTATTTAAAATGAAAAATATAAAGTAGATTCCAAAAATCTATTTAAAATATTAAATAAGAAATAGATTAGAAGCTATTTAAAATAATAAATATTAAAAAACAAATATAAAATAGATTCCAGAAATCTATTTAAAATAAAATATCGTAGGGGCCAATAAAAAACTGATATGACTTATTTGAAATAAAAAATAGATTCCAGAAACTTATTTAAAATAAAACTCTTTTACTTTTTTTTAAATTTAAAATACGTATTTTAAATAATGTTATTTTAAATATGACCGACCCCTGATCGTGTGTCATCCAATTCTATTCAAATTCTCAAACGCTTGCTACCCACCTCCAAACGAAGTCGTGCATTGATGTGCATTCACCATCGATAGAGGATGCTGAGTACGTATCAGATCCACCACCCCGAGAAGGCCGCTTACAGTCTCTTGCACAGGGCTGTTATTGGCCGCCGCGACGGTCCGGATAATATCGGCTTGCGAGGGTGCAGCTTCTCTGGAGTTCTCGTTAACCAACTGCTGAAGGGGAGAGGTGACCGACGTCGGCCCGTTCGTTGCCGTCGTCGGCGTCGGAATGCTTTGCATGCTATTTTCACTTAGCATACTATTCTGACTGTTTTCATCCAGCACTTCTGTTTTCAGGTTGTCCGGCAGGATCAGCTGTAGATTGGACGAGGATCGTCGGTTCATTAGAGGATTTGCTACGAGCGGTGGCGGCATCATGATGTCGGGAGGCGAGTTCGAGGACTGTGAGGTCCACATCATCACGGGAGTCACTTGGGATATTCCTGTCGGTGGTGGACTCGGGTCGCTCTTGACAGTCTCCGAAGAGGTACTTTGTTGCGACTGGGCCGGTGCATTCGACAGGAAGTTTGCAGCTCCCGCAGTTGTTTGCGTTAATAGACCTGAACATTAAATACATCATGCTCTCAAAATGTCAATCTATTTGTGAGGAATTTGAGAAACCTAAAGTTTTTCAAATAAATCTTAAAATTTTAGAAACTTAAGAATGCAAGAGTGAAAAAATTCAAAATATCGGAAATTAAAGGTGTGATATTAACATTTAAAATACATAGGTGCTTAAGATTTAAAACACCTAAATATAGTCTCTAACGTAAATTGAAGAAATCTAGTTTAAAAGATGTAATATTAACATTAAAAATATATAGGTGCTTAAGATTTAAAAAGACCTAGATATAGTCTCGAACGTAGATTTAAGAAATCTAGATTTACAGATACGGAAATTTAGGATCCAACAATCGAACTTACTGCCGGGTGCGATACCTGTGGCCAACGGCACCGCGGCGGAGGACGCGGCCAGGCTGGCGTCGCCGTTCGTTAGCGAGGGTGAGATGGACTCGACTTTGCCTATGGACGGCTGCGGGGGGGTGGAAACAGCCGTGTAGAGGAAGGTGTGAGGTTCGCTGGTCTTTCCGGACGACACCGCGAACAATTTGACGCTGACCGTTTCCGTGGGCGCTAGATCCTGCCTGCGGTAGGGCGGTATCACGCACACCAGATGCACCGGGTGCAGATGCTCCTTGTCCGGCAGCACAGTGCACTCCCAGTGCGGCTCCAGGCTGCTCGTCAGATCGTCGCTGTCCAACTGAAAGACTACTCGGGTGTCCTTCAAAAAGTTCTTACCGAGTATGATGAGTTCCAATCCGCCCGTGCACGGGCAGGACGTCAGAGACTTTTTGCAGATCTCCGGAATGCCAGGTGGCTGGGCTGCAAACATACAAAACTTTATGAGAAAATTGAACAAATCATAAATGTTCTTCATCAAGCTTGAGTCATCTCATCTGTTTTATAATGTCTTTATTTTACGAATGTATTATTTTCTTTCCCATCCTCTTAATCAATATCTGTAGCTACTTTCTCAAGCGTCTGAATAAAATATCCATTGTATATGTCAATCAACTCACTGCAGACTATCGGTTGGGAGCAGACTTGCAGCGTCTCTGTGGTCCCGTCGGCGTGTGTGAGAGTCGTGCGGAAGACCATGCGGCACCGCGTGGACTTCTTCTTGCTTCTGCCTTGTAGCAGCCCGGCTTCCTGAGGAAACCTGTGCTCGACGTCGACATTGCGCTCCTTAAGAATGCCAACGCAGTCGCAGGTAACGTCCTTCGCCGGATCCATGTCGATCTCTATTACGATCGTGCCGTCGAGCTTCCGCTCGATGCAGGGTGTGGAGTTCTTGCCGCTAACACGGCAGGCCTGGTAGAACATGTGGGGTGCCACTCGGCCGAGATCAGTGCCGATGAACACCTGCAGATTCGTCGGCTTGTCGTAGCCGATCAGTCGAACGATGGGAAAGCCATTCCCGCTGCGGTCCTTCACCGCGCCTCGCGAGCCCTCCGTTTGATAGCGGGCCCGGTGCTGCTGCTCGGGTTGACAGACGATCTGCAGTTGGGTTTTGCCGTCGGCGGAAACATTGGCTGTGGCGATCAGAAAACAACATTAGACCCGGGATGCTGCGTGGGTTTATCTGGGGGAGTGGGGTAGGTCAGGGAATAATTTACGGAACAGGTGCAGGCGCGAGTAAATAGAGGAGTGCTAGATTGCCGAGATCTTTGGATAGCGGAATGTTTACCGTTGGTCTGTTGAAAGAATGCCAAAGGAAGGCAGATATATTATGTTGGAAGTGATCCAAGAGTAAACTAGACGCATAATAAATTAGTAGAGATTCTCGACTATTTGGAGATCTAGAAGATAGATAAAGTCTACAAAGAAAAAAAAATATATTTTTAATTTAAAATATTCAAACTTCAAAAAAATGCGGCACAAACTTAGGAGAAATCTTTTACGGCAATTTTAAAAGTTTTAAATTTCTAATAATTCTAACATCTTAATTTCGAACACAGAAATTGCGGAAATTTAAAGTTTTTTTTTTAATCTAAAAACTTTAACTTCCAATTCAAAAACTCAAGATAAGTTAGTTTACAATGTTTATATCATCATCAACGAATACGAATCGTTAATCAATTTGACTTTTTAATCGGCAAATAACGCGTACTACATTTTGATCTTTTACATAATTGTCTATGATGAAACACACTGCTCCAACGTCCGTGGATTATAAATACCCGTTTGACCTATATTTGGTATCAAAAAACGAAGTATCGAATTTCGCGTGTGTATTAATGCTGTCTTTTCTTCTTATCGCTTATGAGAGAAAGAAAAAGAGAGCATCAGCTCTCGAACCGTAGCAGATAGCTTATCGGCGGTGAAAGCGACAAAATAAGCAATTTTGCCGGAAATAAATCCGCCAACTGAGTTTGCTTTTGTTGCAAAATATTGAAGACGACTTCTATTATCCAAAGTAATGAATTGTTTATCCCCTCCCTCTGGCAAGGCAAACGCTTATTAGAGGCAACTGAGTTTATGAGATGCAATAAAGTGCACGACATTTTTGTTGATAATACTTCTGTTGATACTAAAACGTATACTCAATATTGACGAACATGTTGCAGGAGAAGATATTTTCGTATGATTGCATCAACCGGCAGCAAGATTTTTGAAAATATTATCGTATGTAACAAGTAAGTACATAATTTGAAAGAGAAACGTATAAAAATTTGGGTTATATTATTCTCGATAAAAGCGAATCCGTAAGTCTGACGTAAATCTTGGATTCTTGAACTTTTCCCAGACAACTGGTACGTCTCGCAAAGAGAAACTTTACAAGACGCCTTTTAGACGCGTGCGGAGCTGTCTGGGAAAAGTTCAAGAATCCAAAGCCCAAGATACAAAACCCAAGTAATCTAAAGACCAAAGGTTTATAGAGTTCACGACTTGAAAAGATTAAAACAATCGCTAGAAATGACTCAATATCCCCTGGTCTGCCTTAGAAAACTTGAAGAATTGAATTTGTTTCTCTTCGCAACGTATTTATTACGACTAAAGCTTATTCTACACCTATCTAAAGACGTACATAGTTGCGAGATAAGAGTGATAGGTCCCTGATGGGTGTTCGGTGTTCTTTTGCTCAGCACGGCGGGTCGAGGTCTGCTTATTCCTACAACTCTACCGATGGAACCGTTTCCGGACTTAATGCCGGATATTCCTCCCAAACCGATCCCATTAACCGTTCGGACCGTCGGCGATTTATTGTCGGGGCTGGTTCCCGGTGTTACTTCCGGAAACGCGAAGTTCGCGTCCTCGGACTCTAATTTGATATCCATTTTCCTTCTCTTCGAATCCTCCTCGCCAACGTTGTTCCAGAGCTGATAAAGCAATCACGGAATTAATCAATCTACGTATATACAGGGTGTCTCATATATATATAAATATATATATAATAAATATTCAGTAAGAGAATTATTCCCGAATCTCGTACAATTTAAACAATCAGCGGATGAAAGATAGTGCTAGAACCTGAAATATTGTCATACAAAAAAATTTGGCAGACTTGCAACAAAATTTTGTTGACGTACTAGCGATATAACTCCGTTAACAATTCCGTTACTAATTCCGTTTAACGTTGAACATTATTTTTATCTCAGCAAATCTTTAATCCCGGTAAAAATATCAAGGCTTATTAAATTGAATTATTTTTTTTTGTTAGATACATTACATTAAATGGAATCGTCAGAGAATTTTCAACGTGAAATATTTGAAAAATGCGGCATCGCTCTTTACTTGATACTACGGGAAAGAGCTGAACGAGCAGTATAACGGGAACACCCCGTATGTGCGTGAGCGTCTGTGTGCTTAATTTAACGAATCAGAACTCGGCTGGGTTCAACTACCGTTCGAGCGGTCGGCGATCTCCGATGACGATATTGATGACGATCACGCGTACCCTCGTGAACACATTAAATAACTTCATCTGGCTTCTAACGACAGGGTGATTCAGTGCCGTAACCGTAGCAAGAGTGAGGAAGGCGCACGGACCACACGAACGGGCCCGTCAAACTCTTCCTCCTTCTTCTTCACAATTCCATCTTTCAGCAAAGAGAAAAAGAAAACAAAACGAAAGAAGCGATAGATCATTCGATTAATAACTTTGCGGATTTCTTGGGAGAAAATTTTATCAATCTTGTCAAACTGATAAGTTATTTAATGCTCTCATAGCTTCAGATTTCCGTTATTCTTTAAGTTTTCGTGGTGCTACAAATAGAAAATTCGAAAACAAGTTTACGGGCCTCTGAAAATCTTCTAAGAATCTCTAGAAATCTATTAAAAAACATGCTAGAATTTTATAGTATTATACAGATGCTAGAACTTTTAACGATATAGCTACTGGACTTTTATAATAAATACCTAGATAATTACTATGTACAGTACTTAGATAATTACTCTATAGTAGTTTAAGCAAATAAGATTAATTAAAATCGTTTGGTCTGCAGGATCTTATTTATCGTTAGCAGGTACTAACATTGATATTGTTGAAGTGCTGCTGACGTTCCTCAGAGCCGAGGCCGGAGTCGTTCGAATTGTCGTCTGGCGTCGTACCGGTTCTAGGCCCGTGTTCATCAGAAATCCTCGCAGTTACGCCGCCGAGAGACAACAATGGGAATCTGGATTGTTTCGGCTGTTGTTGTTGCTGTTGCTGCTGCTGCTGTTTCTGTTGCTGTGACTGTTGTTGTTGTTGTGGAGTTTGTTGCTGCTGTCGCTGCTGATTATTAGTAACGGTCCTCCTGGTCGCAGAGTGGGCGCGATTATCCGCGGTGGTTCTCGAGACGGACGATGCTGTCACCGTTGACGGCGCACCGCCTGCATTGCTACCTGCAAATCAGACCTCGTTATTCCAGACATCGCCTTTCACCGGTTTTGAAGTGAGATGAAGACAATTTTAAATACCAGGTGTGCAGACGAACAGTTTGTCTGCACACCTGGTATTACATAGATGGAGATGGAATACATAGATGAAGATATACGTAGACGGGGCTGAAGAGACAAATCTTGTAAATCATAAAATCATCATAAATTCTCTGTTAGATCAATCGTATTCTATAATAGGTCGCATGTCGGTGTCATAAATCGTAAATCGTAAAAATTGACCGATCACAGCCGAATGTGAGGAGAATACTCGACTGTGTGGGTCAATTCTTACAATTTACAACACCGAAATATGACGTATTACTAAACGGGTTTTCTGACTCTGTTTGTCATAAATTCTAAGAAGTCGTTAAAATCACAAATCCTCGGATCCTCAAAATTGTCAAAATCATAAATCTTTAGATTCTCAAAACCAACCAATCCTAATTCCTCTAAGTAAACATCTGACCAGGTACTATTATTTGATGTCGATTGATTTGAGTAAATCTGCGTCCAGCGATGGCGAAACCAATTAAGAGATATACAAGATCTAGGAGGTATATCTCTCAGTGAAAATCCTTTTTTGATTAAGATTGAACAATCAGGAATACAACAGCCAGTCGTTATTTTTATTATTCTATTAATTTATTATTTTAATTATATGTATAAAAAAATATAAACACAAATATTTGGCATAAGATGTTGAATTAGTTATATAATTTTCATATGGGCACTATAAAAATATATTTTAACAGTATTTTTATGTTGCTTTTGTTATTTCGTGTATCTATCATTGCCGTCGTACTTCAGCATTGTCTGTTGCCAGTTGGCCAGACTCTTACTAGAGAGAGATTCTAATCGGAACCACAAATCCAATCCTCCAATCTTCAAAACCATCAAAACCACAAATCCTCAGATCCTTAAAAACATTATAAACAACAAATCGACATTATAACCTCAGATCGTCAAAATCATCAAACCACAAATTCTTAGAGATCATTCAAATCTTACATATCAAGTTTCATGAAAAAGTAATTTTTCTAGACCTCCCTCTTTAAAAATGATATTTGCTTGAATTTCGAGACTTCAGCGAATTTCCTCTATTCTTCGAAATTCAGAACGCTAAAACCGTAGAAAGTGTGGAATATTACCGAGCAGTAGAATCATTGCAGTCCTCGAACTATCGATACGCTCGCCGATTGGTGGAGTTAAACTACACCCGTCAAATTTGCTAGAAGCACCGCTCGATGCAGTATTGATAAACCAAGAGTCGATTTATGCGTCGGGCGTGAAAAGCCGACGTCGTGTGTATCGTTGAGGGAAGAGAGAGAGAGAGAGAGAGAGAGAGAGAGAGAGAGAGAAACGCGAAGAAAGGAAAAAAAGATGCGAAATGTACCGAGAACCGGGACGAAAAGAGGGACAAAAAGACACGGAGAGATGACGAGCGCGAGAGGGGTGCGGCGAAAAGGGGGAGACAGAGCAATGTCGGACGGTCTATCTATAGACCACCTATAGACTACTGGGACGAGATAATTGCGTGGGGGTGAAGTTGCAATCGCGGACGCAACTGGTGGCGACGGGGTTCGATTCTCTCGCCCCCTCTTCCACCCCGCCTCCTGCTACCCGGCTGCAAGGGGATGGGCACGTAATCGGCGCGTGCACACACGTGCATAAGAGATGCATCTGTGTGAACGTCGAGGAAAATCACGGAACGATGTCAACGACCTGGCTCCGTCGGTTTCCAATCTCGTTTCTCCCGCTTTCTCCCTTTCCCTCCTCCCCTTTCCCCGTCCTTCCTTTTCTGATGCCGCCGCTGCCGCCCGTTATTGCCGATCATTATGTCATGTTGCAACAATTATTCCTTTTCCTCCGTGTGTCAATCGTCATAAGAGAACATTATTCAATCTCGCGATCTTTCACCCGGCGTTACATTCGTTGCTTTTATTCGCGTCACCGCGTCAAAACTTATATGATTCACGGGAAAAAGTATAGCACTCCCTTTTTCCCGCTTTTCATTCATCGCTCCAAACAATTCGGAGCAAGGGTAAAAACGGAGTGTCTTTACTATCCACGAAGTTTTAATCCGTACTCTCGCGAGTCCTATCTAAAATAAACAAATACTGGGATTAATTCAATTTTGCAATGTACGTCCTTCATTTACTTGAATTGGAAAACCAATTCTATATATATATAGACACCTAATATCGTTTGCCGCGATCAACAGGTCCGTGATTTTCAAGATCCATTCCAAACGCAGGAGCTGCGATTGGAATTCGATTTCGCGGTGTTCGCGCTTCGCATGAACTTTCCAATTTTACCGAGAATGGAAAACAAGTAAAAAATATATATATATATATCGTAAAAAACCTTAAATAAAAAGTCCCAGTTCCGTAAAACGGACGCCAGTTTTAGTCCACGGATGCAGACGTTACGCACGAAGTTTCGCGAGTAACGGTTTCGCTTGCTCGCTCGCCTGCATGCATTTTTCTGCATCTGATTCGAAGAGTCGCGTATAGCCACCCCCTTCCTTTACCCGCCCCCCCCCCTCTCCCGCTTCGGTTGTCTCGCAAATAACCGATAGCGCGATACGGTCGCCACGATAGCTGCATAATCAAGCGGCAATGCCATAAAGATAATAATCGCGAAGGTCTTTCGCGGGTGGCGGCGGCGGCGACGACGCTCCGATGGCTTTTAATTGCCCTGGCAATCTTGCCAGCCGATAAATAAACGCGGCGGCGGAACGCCGCGCCGCCTCTGCGTACACCTGCGAGAGCGCAAGAGGTGAATGTATCTCTTTATCGGCGCGCCGCGGGACGCGAGAGCGCCACCGTGGAAGGAAGGGTATCCGCGCCGCGCCGCCAAGACGAATTAGGGCTCCTGCCCGGCGTGTGTTTGCGTCCTCTCCAGCCGCAACGTCCTCGTTGCCCGGCGGAGGTAGAGAGAGAGAGAGAGAAATAAAGAGAGAAAAAGGGAGAGAATGTTACCCTCGATAACAGGATCGATAAACATCGTTACTATTACACGGCAAACAGAGCGCGAGCGCGCTAACTACGGCGCCTCTCCTCTCGAGTCTCAAGGATATATTCGTTACCAGGACGAATGCGGACGGGAAGGACGAGTGGAACGGACGGACACGGCCGTGTGGATCGATGCCCGATCGATTCTCGGCGACGACGGTGACCGCGCGCGGACGGACGTACTGCCATCGTCCGTCACGGCGGAACGGGCCGATTGATTCGATTTTCCAGGGCCGTTCATCTTTCATGAATCTTCGCGATCGAAAACTCGCGGAGAGAAAACGTAAACACGTTAAAGAGACACTGCGAGAGAGGAAAAAAACGAACGCTGCATATAGTTCTGTAATAGAGCCTTGTTCCATACATAGCCGATAATAGAATTTCATAAATAATGCAGAAGTGATCAAGGTTCTATAATGGAACTCTCGAACTCTATGATAAGTAGCGGATCGGAGCATATCACGTTTTCTAAAATTAGACATCGTTTGCAGACGTCTAAAAAAAGTGTATCGAGTCGCAAACACAAAAGAATTTTATAAACATGATTATGTAAATAGACACGTTGATTTTTTATGGCAAACCGTGCTGCAGACATTATAGAGTTCGACATTAATGAACTGGAAATGTTTAAATATTTAACTTTTCTTTCAGATAAATGAGAGCTGTATATTTGAACTCGTTTGAAAAATGTCGATTGCAATGTTCAGTTCAAATCACCAATATTATTTACTCAATTGTTTTATACGAATCTATTTATGTGTAACTTTTCCTGCTGAATAGTACAATACTTCAGCAAAATATCCCTTCTCTCTCTCTCGCGCGCGCGCGCGCAAATACTTTGAGGACCTTCTTGAATTCCGACGAACAATTTTGTTGCGACGAATGCAAGCTCGCGGAGCAGTCTGTGTACACTTAATGGCATCTCTGATAGCCTACTTAAGTAGTCGAGATAAGTAGCTGAAGAGTCTCCAGGAGCTCGGCACTGCTTGGCACCGGCACCGAAAGAAAGGGAGCAAACAGCGACAGAGGCGCGGTATATATTTATTGCTGCCCTACAATTTCGACAATTTCGAAAGTGGAGGAGTCTAAGAGACGAAGCGCGTCCGATATCCCGACATCAACGATGCTTCAGGATCGAAATAAGAGAACGTTAAAATTTAACGAAAAAAACAAATTAAATTAGACTTGTGAAAGAGTCCAAAGTGTAAATGAGAATAAAACGGAGAGTTAAAATGCAAAATATCAGGATATTCGTGTGATAATAATAGAATAGTATAATATAGTAGCAAATATTAAGTGTGATGCAGCAAAGCAGAAGGAAACAAAGAAGTATAATACAGCAAAGATGGAGAAAATAAAGAAGCAACATATCAATTTTATTGATTACTGATAGCTGATTAGAGGCGCGACGGTGGCGGCTTACAGATAAGACACGCCGTGTATCTATTCGAACGAGCCTCGATAAGAGGATGATTTCAATGGTTGGCGGGCACGCTCCTGACGAAAAAGGGGCCAGACAAGATCTTGGGGCGATAAGAGGAAATTACAGCTTATTTGATGAATTTCGATTTACGGTGCGGCGGCGCGCGTGGCGAGCGCGCACACGGATGGCATTTCTTTTCGATTTAATATATTCACGACTGCGTGAATTTCCGTAACTTCAGAAACGATGTCGTCGATTTTTATCGCCATGTCAGTGACATGTACCAGTGTATAAACCGTTGTATATCGCGACCTTGGGGATCTGAAATCCACAATCAAAAAAAAGAAAACGCGATACATGTGTCCCAAACGAGTATCTTCTCTCTACCAGAATCTCATCTCTACGAAGATTTTGTACCAACAAAATAGTAATAGTAATCAAGTAATAACAATTTAAAAGACACATAACGTAATTTAAATCAGAAAATCAATAATCGATCTCCATTTATCAATTTCTATTAAATGCTC